CATCCATCTACCATCACTACGGTATCCATCATATTGCCACTCTACCATCACATTGCCTCATTACCACAAACATATTTACACCCACACCACCACTACCACACCACCATCACTACCTCACCCACCACCACAGCCACTATCACACCCTCACCCACCACCACAACCATAACTATACCCACACCACAACCACTACCGCACCCACACTACCAAACCCACACCACCACAACCATAAATACACCCACACCACCACCATCACCATACCCACACCACCACCACAACCATCACCACCAAAGCTACCAATACCATCACTAAATAAGAAACACATCACTTAACCTACAGCAATAATATCGCTGTAACGTGATATTAACTGTAATGGCAATAAAGTGTTAAAGTAATGGTTTCTTTTCGTAGATACTGTACCACCATTAGGTTACAGGACTCGCCTTTCATGAATAACCAAAATCAATTAACATATTTTATTTTTTTAATCCCACACGATTGAAACGATTGTAATATCCTCTTCCAAGTAAACAAAATAGGAAGATGGATAGATAGATAGATAGAGACACTGGTAGATAGATATATAGATCGATACTCAGTAAAACCCTAATGCAACATCACACTAATTCAGCATGTACAGAAATATTGCAGGTATAATGAACATAAACTAAGCAGGTACTATACAATGTACACACAAGGGGCAGGTACCGATATATACAATGGTATCCAGGAAGATGAGTCGAACAAGAACTGTCCAATGCCACCAGGAGCTTATATTCACTAGTGTGTGGATGACAATGTATCTATAGATAATTTTAGAACACGAAAAACAATGCAGCTGGCAGATAAAAACAAAACCTCTCCATCAAATGTTGTCTTAACAGTGACCATAATTATACCAACAAGAGAGCTGAGATGCGCTACATATATATACCGGTTATTATGTCCCTTGTCAAATTTAACCCTTGACCTTCAGTTGTGAACTTAACTCCAGAGATACAAACCTAAATGCGGTGTGGACTTGTAAGGGAGGTATGACACATATTCCTCTTCAGTTTTACCAAAATATCCGCACTGATACAAGAGTTACACCCAAGGCTGGATACTCAGTGTAGCACCAGGAACGCCTGACGTAATTTACCTTTACCAAGATTACTACATTATTGGCGGCGTTGAGTCAGCCCATCTCTATACCTTTCTTGGTCTGATAAATGGAGGTTTTCAAATGTAGATGATGTTTCAAGTGATGTTTAACGCAGCCAAATCATCAATGTTTGCTCACAACTGTTTCTTTTCCCGCAGCTTAGGATATAAGAACATACCGAACTGGCTAACATTGTGTACAAAAAGATGGCGGCACAAATTGTAGTGAAATTATACTGCGACAACTAGATGTTTTCTCCCGTGTCTAATTAGGAGGCAATATTAATGTGAGCTCAGACCCGACACACCCTCCTTCCCACCACCACCACGCCACCTAGAAGCTCTTAACTCATCCCTGGCACAAGATAGTGGGAAGACGTAAGAGGATGATCACACACCGCCGGACACAAAATGCGGAACAGCCACGTCACAAATCTCCTGAAAGTGTCCCTCAAAGTTAATAATGAATCAGAATTACCAGGATGGCTCGCCGTCTTATAATGATCGCTCGGGTGAGTAGCCTATTAGGACACGAGTCTGTTCTGAGCCGTGGGCATTAATTCTAAGGAATTTTACGTGGCACTGAAGATTCTTTACTGGAGGTGAAGATGCGTGTGACACACTCCCCGAGTTTTAAAATACCCAGTACAAAATAACGTAAATGTTAGTAATGCTCCAGGATACCAACTAATAATTTCACATGCACACTCGCTAATAAATGTATACATATATGAGACAAGTCACTAAGCTCAGTAATTGTGTTTCCTAGTGACATACAGTTCTAATCTTTCAGAGGCACAAGTGCCCACCTTATTGACATAAACATTTTGATCATCGCAGGGTCATCCTGTTGAGACACACACACACACTGAAACCAGCAACTTAATCGTCTCTCTGAGTACAATGGGCTATAAGCTGTCACGCAAGCCATAAATGGCCATCTTCGCACAGTATAAAACTAATACATAAAAAAAATAATATTAATATAAAAAATATACGGGAAAGTCTACAGAATCCTCTAGGTGTCCACATACTATATAAACATGTATTACATTAGAAAAGAACTTCCCATGTATATTGCGAATGTCACATACCGTACTGTATACAATTATAAGCACACACATATGTGCAACAGCAAAGGAATTTGTGGAGCCAATACAGTTTATTAAGTGCAGGAACCAATCCAACAAACAACATGCAAGGGACCCGCCATAGACAAGTACTGTATATAACAGTATTCAAAGTGGTAATCATTTAATCCTCAGACGAGTTCGCGGGATATTACGTCGCATGTCATAGCAGTGACCTTGTGAGCACGATTACTCCTGACGAAACTTACATTCTTTCTTAAAGTTTAGCAAGGACAGTAATCTTTCTCCCCGCCAATCTTAAATATGACATAATAGGAATGATCCGAATAAAGCTGGTAATTTGGCTGTCATTCTTACATCATGAAACTATAGAAAACACCCGTAACTGTAATACCATATGGTTGTGTATGGAGGCGTTTAAACAATATATGGTGGGCTCGGTTTGGGCAACTGCGCTTGGGTTTTAAATTAGACAAATTTAGATTTAGGCGTGAAATAGGTAAACACTGGTTTGGAAACAGAGTAGTGGATGAATGGAACAAGTTACCAAATATCATCATTAACTCGAATACGCTGAATAGCTTCAAACATAGGTTGGATGCTTATATGAGCAATAGGGGTTGGGTGTAAGCAGGACTGTAGTATAGATAATATAGGCCACTGCAGTTTCCTCCATTCTTATGTTCTTAACCTGTCTCTGTACTCAAGATTCCTAATGCAGGATTAGTCTTGTCATTTCTCCTCTGAATTTTTTCCAAAGTTATATATATATATATATATATATATATATATATATATATATATATATATATATATATATATATATATATATATATATGATAAAATCACACGGGAAAATGGAAACATGAATTACCTTAGCTTTCGTCTTTTATTCAAGACATCTTCAGAGGCAACTGAAGATGTCTTGAATATTTCCCGATAATGACCTATCAAATTTATCTTATCCACGTTTTCATTATGGATTTACATGAAATATATATATATATATATATATATATATATATATATAGATATATATATATATATCTATATATATATCTATATATATCTATATATATATATATATATATATATATATATATATATATATATATATATATATATTTTTTTTTTTTTTTTTTTTTGAGAATAGCTGTGCAGGCATGGTCACTGACCCACACTTCAGGGCCTGGGGGGCGAAAATATAATAATAATAATAATAATAATAATAATAATAATAATAATAATAATAATAATAATAATAGTATCTATTATTATTATTATTACAATTAATAAAATTAATAGCAAATTAATACAAATACTGTACAAATAAAATAATAATAGTAATAACCATAAATAAATACAAAAACGAAAAATATATCAAGAGTGAGAAACGATACATATTATGTATGTTGTGTTGTCCAAGTAAGAGAAACAATTGAGACCCTGTAATTGTGTGTAAATGAGGCAGAAAGTCAGATCAGCAACCTGGGACTTGGTCACAATTTTCGTGATGCCATATGGCAGCAGGGCCTACCATAGACAACACATTATGCTTTCAATATCTTTCCAGGTGGTAGTATAATGAACGTACGTGTGTGTGTGTGTGTGTGTGTGTGTTGGACTCAGACCGAAAAACGACCACAACGTGTTGTAGTTGTTTGGAAATAACTAGAAAGCGAACTGTTGCTATAGGTTAGTTTAGTTTGGGTTAGATTCGATTAGTTTAGGTTTTGGTAGATTAGGTTATGTTCACTTAGGTTTGGTTAGATTAGGTTTGGTTAGATTAGGTTAGGTTAGATTAGGTTTGGTTTGTTTAGGTTAAGTTAGATTAGGTTTGGATAAAACCCAAAAGCAAAATTTTGCTTTCTGGTTATTTTGAAAACGACCATAACGCGTTTTTCATTTTTGAGCCTAACATAAATACATAAAATAAGGTACGATCATATTAAATAAGATAGGTGTGGTTGGGTTATGTTTCCCGAATATAAACGTACACCTGTGTACGTTTATATACTCATTAAAAATTTGATAATGAGGGTAAACTCCCTTGACACAGGGCAGGAGTCTAAACAGCCTAAGAGGACAATCACAATTTAGCTGATTTCCTTTAAATTACCCTCAGTCTTGGGAGTGGCAGAAGATGCATCGTACAATTTATTTTCAATTATATGAAACGTAACACTAACACCACATTCATGCACTACCGTTGAAAGATTTAAAAAACATCTTCAATAATAGTTGTAGGGGCTTCATCATAAGTCAACCATCAACAGTGGCAGGAGAGGAAGAAGGGTGGCCGGGCTAGCTTGTTGCACCACCCACCTACTTTAACTTTTTCATCTTGTATTCCCAAGCGTATTTCTTTCTAGCTGTTGACATGTGGCGTATTCGTGCAGCTACTGTGATAACAATCATGTTTTAATGTTGTAGCGGCGTGACAGGGTATTACAACAGTATTTTATCTACAACAGTGCCACTGTTTCCCTCCTCATCCTCCCAACACAAAGGTTTGTAAGAGATTTCGATGCCCATGTAATTAATATTTTGATACAAGTCCCCGTGGTGTATTTACAATAAGAGCCATGTTGTTGATGGCGACGGCCCCTAAAACTGAACATGTTTTACGGGGCAGATCCAAGGGGAAAATCGGGGCTGGGTTGGGGCGGTCTCTTGTCCCCTCAAAAATCGATGAGGCTCTAGACCTCCCCTTACATTCCCTTGTCTCTGCTATCCCACAATCCTGATATAACTGAGTATTGCACTTACCGTTGGCCCCAAAGATCCGCTCCATGGTAAAGATTTACGAAATCCTCGCCACTAGAAATTTCCCACTATCATGGTACAATACCATTCACTAGTAACGAGCGCGACGCACACTCTCACTCGCACAGTCTGGCCATCACTGAGCTTGTGTTGTCAGAGTCGCCGTTCTTCAATGTTTGCCGCAGAGGTGCCAGTTACTATTTATTCCTGCTTCCGCTTTCTATATAATCACTGGCTAATATATATCATAAATCATTCATATTTATAATAATTTGTGTATAGAATCAATTTCTAATGCGCATAGGATTAATTTATTGATGCATTTAAAGGGGAAGAGGGAAGAGAACAGCTTACAAAGTTACCAATTCTGACGTTTTTAACCAATCAGGTTCGCAGTACAATATTCGGTGACGTCAGGTGAGAAACGTTAAGGGTATCCCTTCATATAATTCTCTAGGTAATTCGTGTTAATATCTTCAGAATTTTTAAAGCAGATATTAAAAGTATGATCAGGTATTACTCTGCCATCAGTCAATACCCTTCATAATTTCCTTTTGTGTTAAATGTTAATGTACTGCATATCTTACAGGTAAAGAAAGGAGTTTCCTTCATTTGTGAATAATGTGATATGTGAATATGTTTATTACCCATATTATTTAAAAGTTGTTGTTGATATAATACACTAGACAATATTCTGTCAGCGCTCAAGAGTCATTAATATGCCTTCTATCATAAAAAAGCGGCTGTACGTTAAAACTAGAAGATTAAACTAATTTAATATCCTCATTTAATACATTTTTTATATTGGTGAGTAGAATAATAGCAAACAGAATTTGTTACCGAAGTGAGCAAGGATCTCTTCAACAGGTGAATGACGTCAATTCCCTATGTTATGTTCATGTTCAATAGTTGTGAAGTGAAGGGAGTGACTGCGAGTGCTGGACACTTCTCAATAACTCAACAACCTGCATCAACACTACGAATTACAGCTTTCATAACGTCACTATCAGACACGTTCACTTAAAACTAGACAAATTTATTTAGATTTTTTTTGTGTGTTTTAGCTTAAGTCATCCAGTAAGTGCAACCTTGCATCTTAAGTTACGAGGATTATTGATTGTAAACCCCTGAGAATCACTACACAGGCTTGAGAATTTCTATATTTATTTTGTCCTTGGTCTTCTTTCTTTTCTGTTGAACACATCACCGTCATCGTCAAAGTTGAGATGAATGAATTCATGCCCAGTAAAACAGCCCAAAAACGTCTTATTTCCATCATATGGTTTAATTGTTCCAGTGTCATTGCTATATTTAACAAAGAAAAGACACATTGATTATAAAAATCCACTTATCAGTACAGACACTCAAGGCGTAAATAAGAGGTCACGCCCAAGCAGTTATCAAATTATCCAAATGAAAGTTTCTACATAAAAGGCAAGTAAACAATTGAACAACCCAAACAATAAGAAACTATTCTGCTACGCATTTAACACAATCAGCTCTAACTTCAGTAGCCATTGTTCCATTCCTCGTGAACTGTGAGCTGGATGTGATGTTGGGGCAACGTAGGCTCGGTAGGGTGTTGGGGCAGTATAGGCTGGGTGTGGTGTACAAGTGTTAGTAAGTGAAGGGTGTTGCCTTGGCTATTCTAAGCATTGATTAATTATTTTTTACTGAAGAAAATTTGCTCATTACCTTCTCATTCTACTATGCCCGGTGCCTGGATCTTGAAGGACAGTTCAGTATAAACATATGACATACGAAGTGACCCTAGCATGTGTCACCGTGTGATGAATGATCCACCATGACACCTGCGTTATATCGCGCTTCTTTTAAAACAAACAAGAGGAACCAATCAACTTGTGCTGACGATCTCAGAATACTTTCTAGTTCAGTTAAGAAAGACTAAGAAACTTAGGTTTTGGTTGATTCGTGTCGTCTGTCATAAAAAAATTGAAAATTATTTAGTTAACCATGGCAGGGTAAATATCGAGCTTGTGATGATTAATGTAGTTATCACTTGAGACTGTCTCATGTCAACGTCTTCTTTAACCTCGAAAAGCTGTTTTACCATTGCAACACTTGTTCAATTTTAGCCCAATTTCCGCGAAAAGTTTATTTCGAACCATGTTAGAGTTTGATCAAACCTGCCAAGTTTGGTACAAATCCGCAAAACCCTTCTCGAGCTATTTTGGGAGACAACAACAAATAGGACCGAAAACAATAGCCTCGCACCTGCCCTCCTTATTGAACTCCGACACAATGAAGTTCTCGTTTTTTATGAAAAGTCATTTGAAGATTCTCAGGTGGGGGAACAAGTAGGTCATACCAAGACACTTTCAACCTGTCCTCAAAGCACAAGTACGACACTGCATGTAGTCTTAGGGTTTCTTTGTCCTTCCATCACTAGTTTTTTCTCTTCCCCGATACTTGATTTACATTGTAGAATTAAAGCATCACAGGTCAGATCCCGTCAAAGAAGTTCAGATTAAAAGGGGTCTCTCTCTCTCTCTCTCTCTCTCTCTCTCTCTCTCTCTCTATATATATATATATATATATATATATATATATAATCAACGACCTCACCAGCCAGGAATCGAACCCTCAACCTTCCTGGATGGTGAGGTCGTTGATTATATGTTCTAAGTCCGCGTGTTATATGGACTAAAATGAAGTATATATATATATATATATATATATATATATATATATATATATATATATATATATATATATATATATATATATATATATATATATATATATATATACCAACGAAGATTGGGCGACGAGGACCAGAGTCGAATGGTCACCTACCTGTAGGTCTCCGGACCTCACACATCTCGATTTCCTCCTCTGGGGTCTCCTAAATGGTTCCTTGATGATATTGTTAGACGACAAATGAAATATTGCAGGTGGTTTGCGCTCCAGCAAATCTGATTGATTTTTGCGGTTCCAAAGATGACGGAGGTACACTGATGACGTAATGCTCACCTACTGACGTAATACAGTGTCGTCATATATCGGCTACTGACGTCATCTGAGCTGCCATGTATATTCGGTAACTTCATCTCTTGGCGATAAGAGATAAAGAGAGAGGAAGAGAGGAGTGGCGGAGAGTGGGTGCTGTCTTACCTCATGGAAACTACTACAGTCTAGCGGATATTCATATATATAGATCAATATCACTTCTCCTCACTACTGACAAAGCTTTGAACACAATACCTCCCTCTCACATTCAAGATTTGTGTTTATTAAAATCTGATCCTGAAACTTAAGTGAAGACATCTTACAACCCGAGCTGTCAGTCGCTGAGCGTGTTGTCCCGGGTGATGATGACAGGCAAATATTCATAACTTTATTATACTGTACATCACACCCTGCTGGACTACGGAGTGGTATGATAGATACACATATAGACAGACAAACAGACAGACAGATAGATAGATAGATTGATAGAGCCAACCCTGTCTTCACGCCCTCACCCCACCCTAGCCGAGTATCTCCCCACCACCACCTTTCTTCTCCTAAACAAACTCAAACAGACATACAGTTGTAAACAAGTTCTTTCAGGGGTCGTCACCAGTTAAGTAAGAAATGATCCCTTAGAACAAGAATACTGATGTTATTAAGGTTCTTCCGGCAGGTCGAACCCCAGGAGTACCCTCAACAGGTTCAATCCCCGTGAGTACCTCGGTAGGTTGAGCCTTGAAGTACCCCGAGAAGTTTGAACCTCGTGAGTACTCCAGCAGGTTGAATCCCAGGAACACCCTAGCAAGTTGAGCCCCGGGAATACCAGGAAGTTGGTCACAGAGATGCTTAGTTTTTTATATGATGATTACATAGCTCTTGGTGACGTGTTGCCTATCCACACCTCCTACACGATACCCTCAACCACGCGCCATGGTAAATACCTAACGCCCCAAAGACAACGAAGATGATAAGCTCTCCACATCACACAAACTCCCCTACATCCTAATTATATTGACTACGATACCTAATTAGCACTCACCAGACAAAAATTAATAATAATTAATCGAATTTGTAAATCTATGGCTTTTCTTTACCGAGTTTCAGTAGCCTCATGAGCAAGCATATATTCAAACAAAATCAAACGAGACAGTGGTTTAACTGAAGTTGAGTACTCCACAGGGAGGTGTACTTAGCCCACTCTTTTTAACATATTGATGATTATAATGGCTCGCTACGAATTTCCTGGAGACACACAGATTATAATATACGTGACATGCAATACCTGGAGAATGAATGTAAAGGACTTTTAAGACCTTTGACATGGAAGGGAAATGGCGCAGATATTCCTATTTTAAGGATGGTTTATATCAGAACAATACTATACGTTCATTTACTGACTATGCAGCTCCCATCCTTATAATGTAGAGTAAAAACAATATCCAAAAGCTTGAAGTGATACAAAACAAGGCCGTGAAAATCGTTTTAGGTAGTCAACGGAACACTAGAATTGAAATAATGAGAATGGAGTTAAATTTACCAAGTATAGAACATAGAGTAAAGAAACTTGCTGTAGCCGATACTCTTAGGACCATTAGGAGAGGAGGAGATAATAGGTTGCCCCGTACAATAATGTGCTTAAATGAAAGAACAGATCTTGGCAATGTGTCCAAGTATGCAAGGCTACTGTATAATATTTTGATGAAGTATGGAGTAGATAAATATTGCATTTCATTACAAACTTATCTAAGGGTTAGACCATTTCAGGAAGGATGCATTGCAGTAGATATTTTACAGCCTGAGGGAAAAAGATGATTGGCATCCCAGTTATTTACGAAATGTCTTTTTAGAGAAAATAAATAGTTTTACCACGCGAAACACTGTACATATATATTGTGATGGATCAGTATTAAATGCCGGTCAAGCGGGATGTGGTGTTTTTATAAGGGAATAATTTATCAATGAGTGTTATGCAGATGAAACAGTTTGTAAAAGAATTAGTGAAAACACCTCATCCACGCTGGCTGAACTTCAAGCAAAATGTGAAGGACTCCAAGTTGCTATAGAGAAATGTAAAGAAACAAATATATTTGTTGATAGTAAAAGTGCATTGGAAGATTTGAAGAGTAAAAATCCATGAAACTTTCATATTGTTAATATCTGT